ATGGAGATCGGAAGCCGTATATTAAATTTGTATGTTGGAGAAAGAGCTATAAAACACCAAGCGTTTCTTCGCAGCCGATTAGACGAAGGAGGTAAATTGATTAGTGTTATTATATTGTTCATTGAGGACTTCAATGGACACACAATGTCCGGCCTTCATCTTTTGTAAGTTTCTTGAAGGTTATTGGACTGTTGTTCGTGGGAATGTGCATCACAATCACGAGTGCAATTCCCTGAGGTACGACTGTAACACATGGATGCGCCGATTAACGGGAGCGGAATTTGAATCAGTGAAGCCACTGCTGATATCTGGAACATCAGCATTCAATGTGATACACTACGCTTACCAATCATATGGGAAACGTCTTACAGCTCAAGATGTTTTCAATATGCGTTACAAAGTGTTCTCACAGGCCAACCTTCCTGGTAAGCAATGTGCATATTTATACTAATAACTGTAGGTGATTACGGTAAGTTGAAAAATCACATCACGTCACTTGGTGGCCTTTGTGATTATCAATTGGATGCAGATCATAGTCTGTTGTACTTCTTCTTCGCTACAGCAGACCAGATCAATCTGTGTAACAGGTTTTTAGATGTTGTTGGTTTTGATGGGACATACAAAACCAATAATGAAAACATGTTTCTTTATCACGTGGTGGCTTTGGACATGAATTTCATGGCAATACCTGTTTGTATTGCATTTGTAAGTCGCGAAACATCGACTTTGCTGTCCAGTTTCCTCTCGTTCTTCCGCCAAATGAGTAACAATAGAGAGGTTATCGGTATTGTTACCGACGATTCACCTGCTATAGCTGCTGCCATAACGCAGGTGTATCCCAATTCACACCACCTTTTGTGCCGCGTGCACCTTCTTCGAAATGTCATCAAGAGGGTAAGCTTTCCTTTCTTTACAAATGACCCATTCATCGTATTCGTAGAGGCTACGATCTGATCTTCTTCAAATGTTCTACCGTCTTATGCTAACAAGAAATGTGGAAAGGTAAATGGAAATATGCTTTACAATGTATTGTAGCTTCCAACGGTATGTGTCATTTATCGAAGCAGCAGACGGGAATTTCTATCAATATTTGAGAGATCAGTTATTGTCCAAAAAGCACAAGTGGTCGAACGCTTTTAGACCAGCTGCAATGCTTCTAGATCAAAGCAATACAAATTTCGTTGAGACGACCCATCGAATTTTAAAGTTGCATAAGCTGAACAGAAAAACACCCGTGTTCAGATCGATATTTAGTGTTCTGCTTCGCACTGGATATTGGATAGAAGCTCGAGTTCAAAAGTACTCCACTGAATGCCGTAGCAGGGCTGTGCTGGGTCGCGAGCCTCAACTACGTCGTCTTCAGGAAACACTTACACCTGCTGCATGTAAACTGCTTAAGCGGCACATGCGCATTCCTGTTACTGACTACGTATTGTCGGGGGAGTTTTTCACGGCCGTTGATACTACAGGAACTTACACAGTCTCCAAAAATCCTATTAGTTGTTCCTGTTTCTTTTATGTAGAACACAGAGTCGTATGTCGTCACATCTTGGCATATTGTTCGCACGATAATGTCGAAGTTCACAGAGAAAGCATTGGTGACAGATGGCTGCATTCCAACAGCTTCGTAACCGCAGTAACGATTGACAATGAGTTACAGGTACAAGTCGGGCAGACAAGCGTCCTAACATCGATTCACAACTTATGTCGGCGTATGTCCGCTGAACAGCTTACCGCTGTCCTTAACTATTCTCATCAGTTGCTTAACGATGGAATACCTACTACCATCACAATGCCCGTCGTCCGAAATACCACAGGCACCAACCGTCAACAGAACGTAGATTTGGATGCTACCTTAAATGATGACGAGATGGAAGTAATATCTATGAACTCAGAAGAGTTCACGGACCGAGACAATGAAGAAGACGAACGTGCGCACAATGACCGACTGTGTGATATTTGCCATCTATGTCAGCCGCCCAGTGAACTAGGTGATGGAAGTGCTTGGATTTTTTGTCCATGCAACGCAATGTTTCATTCGTTCTGTGCCTACGACCCAACAGAAGTATCACCTGGGTTCAACTGTCCCATGTGCGGCGCTGTCACGGACTCATAGTGGAGTCATCGATCAGGACCGAAGGAGCTGTGTAGAGACCGAGTAAAGGCCCTTTTCAGGGCCACCCACAATTTGATTTAAATTTTGTTTGAATTTCTTGTTTCCATTTTAAGGAGGAGTCATGAAACCATCAATAATTCATTTCACATTCATATGATTTGGTTACTAGGTACAGTAGAGAAATGTAGTAAGATCAGTTCACTAGTACAACAAGATCATTTCTATTGCTAAGGTCAAGTGAACAGACACTGATCGGTCATCACAATTCCATAGTAATTAAGCTGTAGATTAATAATTATCATCGCTCACTTTATTACCATGCCAACAGCTTTCCAGGTTTTTCAAATTTACGGTTTCAGTGAACGATTCCGTACAGAAAACAACGTCATATAATGAACATTAATCTGTCGAACAAAAGTATATGCAAAGGTGTGTACGATCATTCCAATCTCTTTTCACTTAGCTAAGGTAGACGATTGTACTGAGATCAGTTCATTAGTACAACAAGATAATTTGTATTGGGAAGGTCAAGTGAACAGACACTGATCATTCATCACAATTCCATAGTAATGAAGATGTAAAATCACTTTTTCTAGATTAATAATAATAAAGTGATCATCGATCACTTTATAATTTTGTCAACAGCTTTTAAGGTTTCTCAAATTAAAGGTTTCAGTAAACGATTCCGAACAGAAAACGACGTCATATAATGAAGACTTACATGTCTAACAAGTCATTAATAATAATAATAATAGTAATAATAATAATAATAATAATAATAATAATGGAACATACGAAATGTAATAATAATTTTTCTTATGAGATTTATCACTGCATTGCAAAAATTCGATACAGTGATAAATGTCATTTAGACGTCTGATAAGTGAATGTACAGTTTAACTTAACAGATTGAAATACGATATTCTAAATACATAATGGTTACTTGATACAATTGACCTTATTCACATTAAGTCATATCATTGAAATAGAAATTTATTTCACTAGACATAGGCTTGTTCATTGACACTTCATTCAACCTATATTACACATATGCTTGTCAAAAAGGTTACTTTTTTCACCATTCAGCGATTTACTGTTTGACAGTATAAGAGGAGTAATTATTATCTCTTTGTGACGGAAAATGTACATAGTTTTTCATTGTTCGTCCAGTATGTTTAACAAAGGAAACTGTTGAATTTGGAAATATAATTTCAGTCTTTCTAAGTAATTAACGTTTACAATGTTATTTACTAATGAAAATAAAAAATTCAGATCATTAATTTGAAAGGCTGTGCACTTAAAAAACATTGGCTGTTAACATCACCTGCCAAAAAATATTATGCCCACCTCACAAATACAATTACCGTATTACATGACTGAGTACACTAACATGTCTTTTCGGTGATCATTAATAAGTGATCAACTACAAATAATCTACAGGTCAGCATATTTTATGCTTTGAATGGATTTACAAAAAATCTTGATAACCTAGTGTGAGGATGGTCCACAGGTGAAGTCGAGGAGGCTCTAGGAAGCCCAGGAAGAGCCGCAGACATTCCATCCAATCAGGGCTAGGGGAATGTTCTAGAAATGCCAACGTGGAGCTTCCCTATTGGATGGATTAGTTTGATACCTATGTGCTTATTGGTTGACCTAAATGATAATTTACTTTCAGCCAAAAACTATAAATACACGAGATTTCTGTGCTATATTTTGACATTGTTCGGGGCAATAAACTTCCTGCTTACCAGTCTTTGTCTTCTCTCTTTGCGACGTTGCGGGTTCTATCGTTCAAGTAGACAAGTAGTTCGCGGCATATTAAGAATCAAGGCTCTAGATATAACACCTAGATATTGCGTTCATTTTCGAAACCTTTTCATAGCTAAACTAATCAACTTTTTGGTATTAAGAATAACGGTTTGCAAAATAACTGAATTATAAAGATTATTTGCTTTTTTCTCAGACATTATTACTAATTTCAGACAGCGTAAAAGTTGCTTCATTTACCCATCTTTTACGGTTAGCGTGACTTCGGCATGACCCATTCACTTTCTCTTTATCATGATTTATTCATATACTTACACGAATATAACGTTTATTAAATGAGCGAACTATGTGTTCAATTAACTTATGGGAATACTTAAATGAAAATGTGTTCACTAATTTGTGTATTAAACATTTGAGACTACCTTTGAAATTCAATAATCACCATTATCAATTATTAATAACAACTGTAAGTTTTTTCAAAAATTAACTTTCAATGATCCACAGATTATTACTATTCTTGTCACGATAACTGATAACTTTAGTTGCATTTCTACTTCATAAAAAGAAATTACATTCACTAACAGGAGTATAGCAGGGTAATGAAATGGATTTGTTTTTTGTTTTTTTCAAAGTTAAAATTTTTTACAAAACTCAGATTGAACAATGTGAAAATAGTTTATTATTGTAAATAATAATCGAATGTAAAAATGTCAATTCTTACATCCAATAAAAGCACTTTATTCTAGTTCGATTTGAACGAATCAAATTGCAAAACTGCACCATTTACAACCAATTAAAAAATTATTACAGGTGACAAAATATTTGTTCATTTGCACTTGAGCACACACTTTCAAAAACAAATTCACCAATCACCAATTGCTAAATTTTTTTCATATCCTTTAATTTCCAAAAAAAGGGGGGTAGGGGATTATACGTGCAGTGATTCTAATGTCAACCATATATATATATATATATATATATATATATATATATATATATATATAGAGAGAGAGAGAGAGAGGGGGGGTAGGTAGGTAGGTAAATAGATGGATAAATGCTTCCTAGGATTAGAAATATTCAAATACAAATAATTACATCTCATACAAAGATAACTTACCAATTTTATAACTACTCGAATCAAGTACTAATTGCCATGTCAATGATAACTGTGAAATTGAGACACCGATTAATGATGTATCAGTAAATATTGATATTCCTCGATAATAACTCATTGCTGATAAACTCGTTCCTCCGTCACCAGAATTTAAGTAAAATCTTAAACGATTCTGGCTAACAGTTAATAACTTGATCCATATTGATATTGAGAATCCATGTGCATTACAAGCAGATAAACTTGGCTCTATTAAACATTTCCCAGTCCATATTAAATTGGTTGATATCACCTCAGAAGACTTACGCTGTCCTATAATTTAAATTTATAGGAAAAGAAAGTTCTCTTTATTGAATTCTCTTTATTTTTATTCGTTGACACCATGGTTTTTTTAAATTAAATAAAACATCACCTTACCTAACATCATATATTGTTTTGGTTTCATTTCGAATATAGGCACTTTTGATTTATTCTCATAATCATCTTGACTGAAATGAAATGTGACAAATTTTGGATGATAAATTGATGCCAGTGAATAACCAGGTATACTTGTTAATGAATAATCATTTTGTGGTTGTAAATATTTATATTTCTGTCTAACTTGTATTTGTACATTACTATCATAAGCTATATAAGGATCAGGTGTCCAATAATAGCTGGCATTATGAAGATTTGCTTGTTGTGCTCCTTTAGATAAAAGAAATAAAACGAATACATCTTCACCATTAAAAATGTATAAGAATAACCAGTTAAAAGAAAGTAATTGCAGTGTTTATAATAAAACTATTTTTTATAAATCTTATATTTGTAGTCAATAAGTGAACATGATAGTCAGGTCTCACTTTGATTGATTGGTATGTGATTTATCATATGAGCTTTCTATTGACCTAAACATTTTAGGTCAAATGTTTTGTGTGTGTCCAATTTATATGAGATGGTTCTTTTTGATGATTAGTTACTCTTTTTTTATTGTTACTTCGTTCTTGGATTGATAATGTTATTATGTGCAGAAAAACAGTCTATGTAATGTATCATTGTATGCACCATTTAAATGTCACTGACAAAATCAAAAGAGTAGTAACCAGCCCTTATGTAAATTTCATTATTTGATGCAGATTTTCAATCTTTTTTAGTGGATTTGTGCTGAATATAGAAGCAAAAACACTTTGCTAAAATGTGTTATAAACTTAAGTTAAGTTAGAGCGTTTATTGAAGAAACATTGATCTATCTTAGATCTCTTATAATACAGTATCATCTAGATCTATAACGAGATGAAACCATTCTGAAAACTTACTGTCTCTTCAAACGTTTTTCTAGCACGCAGTAAACAACTAAACTGACACCGAGGAAAAAAAACGTCGCCAAGATAATGCTTTTTAGTTTTAAAGCATTCTATATAATACTCAAAGGAAGAATTTAACCGGAGACGGAATATTAGTTATTTTTAATTATACTAATTTAACAGATACTCTGAAATTTAACATACTTGTATAACCCACAAAAACATGTGATTCAAACGAATACAACCATCTATACCATAGAATAAAATCGTTGTAAGTAATCCCAGCAGCACTTTGTCCAATTTTCGAGCTGCCCAGAATTAGTCCATTTAAACAACGATCAGTTCTTTGCAGTGGGGTTCTTGTTGGTGGCGAAACTTGTTCAACAGGCATCGGAATACCATTAAAATATACAGCTACAGTAGGGTCTATAAAATTTGATAAACTGATACCAATATTGAACCAGATATCTTTCGGTACCACACTGTATACACGAAAAACAACTATACCCTTAGTTGAGTTAACTAAAAAAAAAGGTGAAAAACAAAATAAAATAAGATGTTTCCCTTACTTCAAAATCGGAATTATGTTGTCATAAAAAGTCTGTTTGTTTTCCAGGTGGTTGAAAAACTCAAATATACAATAGCACAAAGCAAAAGATGACTGCATATATTGACGTAACTTTGATGATGATAAAATTTCGAGTTGTATAGATAAATAAATTTCAACGAGGTATTAAAATACACAAATAATAGTTCATATTCTTAGTTAATAAATACAAACGGCTACCGTCTGAGAATATCTCTTACGAATAATAACCGTCCACAAGGATATCTAATCTCCGATTTCTATCGAAAAGTATAAGAATTATATAATTCAACTATTAGATAAGTAATATTTCTTACCGTAAAACCTTTCTGTTTGTCTTAATCATTTGATCCGTTAATTAGTTTATCATAAATGATAGATATGTTCCGTATTACCATCATCATAGTTTGCTATCATAAAGCAAATTCTTCAGTTACTTATTTTAAAACCTAAAGGAAAACCCTTCGAAATTGTTTATTTTAAAGTCTCGCTAAACTCAAATTTATATGAATCATAACAGCATCAGGTTACTTTTAATAGACTGATATATATAAGTAATATATATATATATATATATATATATATGCGTATATAAATTAGTGTTTGTGTTTAGATGTCATCAAGTTATCGATACCTATTCAGCCACCGAATGATGTTGACGGCTTTAGCTTGATAATATGTTTATTTTATTTGCTTATAACATTGACTTATCCTCCTACTAGATTGCAATTTTTTCTAATAATGTTACCCCTTTTCTGTAAACTATTTGACCGTTTTTATCTATAAAAAGTGTATCACCTTTAATCAGGTCTATTTATTATTCACTATTGTAAAACAAATATCAACCAAAGTATTGATAATCTAATGAAAATTAAACCAAAGAAGCTTGATTTGTCATTTATCCATTAATCTAGAGCTACCTTATAACAAGTCAGTATACCTACGTTAACTTAGAAATGATGTTAAATAAAACTGTATTTGAACAATATTTACTTACTGAAAATATTGATATAATTGTTATAAACTGACACAGTGGTACCATTGACTAATTCTAAAATATCTAATATACCAACTGTAGTACTTAAAATATCCGGTATTTTTAACCATACACCCATAGATAAACCCTGAACGCAGAGACTTATATTACCAGGACAAGTTTTCACATTAAAGAGTTTCATCTAAAAGTGATAAAAATTAAGAACAAGGGAGAATAGTAAGTAATTGATCATTAACAACTTAAAATAATGACTATAATATCTAAAACTCTCATTACAAGAAAATACAGTTGTTAGTAATAAAGCACTTAGACGTGAGTGACATCTTTACAAAAACTATTATATCAAGAAAATGTAATATTAAATCTGTATGGTTTAATTCAATCAGTGGAAAGACATTATCTTATTTATTTTATTTTATCTTCTTATACTATTCTGGTGATCGAAGTAATATCATTCAACTCTGGAGTAGGAACTAATTTTATTGATCTGGTAGAACTACTAAGTATTACAGAAATTTAAAATATACGTTACAATTTTCTACTAGCTTCCCTAAAGTTCAAGGCATATTTTGTTGATGAGTTCCGCTGAATGTTTCGCCTCCATTCAGCTTAAAAACTTGAGTAATATATTAAAACAAAATGCGTTAGACAATTTAGTCATTTGGTTTCATAACTAAAAACCACTTTTTATAAAGACATTATTAAGCACTTGGAACTATGGAATTATGTGGTCGGGTTTAAAATAGGTTAATAATTTATTTCTAAATTAAGTTTACTGTATGCATCATCGAGTTTCGTGATGAGCGTATAATTAAAATTTAGTTATATCAAACATGAGTTGACAAGTTGATAATAATCACATCACTGAATAGGGTATATTTTTACTTTGTTTTTCATGTATTCTGTTAATGACGGTCTATAAATCACCAGTGATTAAACAAAACTCAGGGATAAATCTATTATTAAGCTTTACAGTTAAATTATAAGACTATAGAAGAGAGAAACTTCGTGAAAACCCTTTTGAATTCGTTGTTGAATTATGTGGTGATAAATAATCAATGGAATTGAAACATCTCAATGAAATTGTCAGTTAACCAGATCGTTTTACTGATAAATTCTAAATTTCAATAGTGAAACTCCATATAACTAGTTAATAAAGAATAATCTACATTTCCGAAATTATAGAGTAGTGTATGACGTCAAAATATATCACAATTACTAGTATAATTTTCACTAAAATCTTTAAAAAGAAACTAAATGAACATGGTATTTATCAAAAGTACTAATGGATTGCCTCGATATTGCCTGAAGTCGCAAGGTTTATGAGCAAAGATGGATAGTTGCTAGCAGTGGAATCCAGGACTCTTTTTAAAATTTATTTCCGGAATCAAACAAATCTATCTCACTAGTTTTCATGTTCTCCCTATGCGTAGTCGGACTTGGGATCCTAGTACGAAGCACAAGCCAATTGAGCATTACACATGCAAACAGTGTTACATATGACATTGTCACCACTAAAGTGAAATTAAATTTACTTAGTAGTTGCACTGTCTTGTTATGTCTGTTTAACTCTTATCTCTGCATAATTGATCAAATTTTTGTTCATTACATGTTATTTCATTGTATCAACAATGAGTCTATTCTTATTTTAATATAAGTCGATCATTTATAAGTTATATGATACCATGCCACTAACTTCAAAACAACTTCTATTTGATGTTAATTGATAAGCGGTTTTCAGTCCAGAACGGTCAGCTACCAATTCAATATCATTTTTTATATAATTTAATGGTAAAACCAATAAAGGATTGTAATAATCTGCCATTAAATAAATTGGATTTAAACTTTCACTAATTTGTTCGTCCGGTATAAGTTCTTCAACTTCATTTGTATAGTCTGCATAATTTGTGATTTTAACTGGTTGAGGAACTAATGGTTTTGAGACTTTTTCTGTTAACAAATAATGCTCTGTAAAACAAATAAAAATGCATGAAAAATAAATGAAATGGAAAAAAAATAAACAAACGATATATTAAGAGAATGATGAATTTTGTTGTAGTTACGAATGTTTGAACTTAAGACACATAAAAAGATTGGATGATGAAATTTCGCTGGAACAAATTTTTCCACTTACTGTAACATGAAATAGATTAGTTGTTAGGTGTTGGTTTGTTCTCTGAGCTGGATGGTTTGGTCGTGGAGCTTTCATCGTCCTTCTGAACGACATCATCAGCACAAACTTCGGGTAGAAGTGAAGTGTTTGAATTAGGATTTACATCATGGGCTTTATCGATAAAAAATAACAGATACTCATGGAATTTATTTTTTACAGACGCAAATAAACTGAATGGAGTACGCTGATGAGTTACAACTGTCAACCACTGCACAAGCATATATAATCGTTGGATTGTATCATTCTTTATTGACCGTTCTGATAATATCAGTATGTATTTCACCAAAATATTTTTGTTTTGAACTGGTTATGATAGAATTTATTTAGTATTGTTTGTTTGAATCTTGCCATCGATGTGTTAGGACTGCAACTGGTCAGTCTCTAATTGGGATATGTGCATACTGTGCGCATTGCCTCGATATAGCTTTAATTCACAAGCTTGGTAAGCAGAGATGGAAAGATGGGAAGATTCAAACAAACAATACTAAATGAATTTAAACTTCACCCCATCGCACAAGCAAGTGGCTATCAGGACTCAGTGGCCGAGTGGATAACGCGATGGCGTTTGAGTGAACATCAACTCTGTGATGCAGGTACATCCAGCTGACGAGTCCCAAATAGGACGAAACGCGCGTCCTGGATTCCACTGCTAGCCACTATCCATCTTTGCTTACCATGGTTATGATAGAGTTTTGGTGCTACATGACAACAGAATCAATAGCATGCTGTTCATTGTTTGTAACCTATCGAATAACAATGACCTTGTTATGTGAATTTTCATCCTGTAATACATACTCTAAGAACCTGATGTCTGAATGTTCAAAGACTTTATTTCATGACTTACTGAAATTTAGAGCACTAATTAATCAATTAAACAGTAAATATTTGTTATTCATGCAACTGACGTCAACAGTTTCGGCAGACTGAATGATTTTTAAACACGTTACATTTTACCGGGGATATCTGTTTTAAAACATACAGTAAGAACGACAGTGTGATATCTAGTAGAAATAATAGGTCACTTAATGATATCAAAGGTCTTTTCAATCGCCTTATATGATCTAAAGACCCTTCTATCCCATACACACGAACTATTGCAGATGAAGAATCGAAATCGGGAGCAGACATGAAAATGATGAATAGCAACTGGAAAGAATTGCCCAGGACAAAAACTTTGATACCAAGTTTTTGGATGCCCTATGGCGTTAGTTTACTAACCCATCGCTGTGTCGTCAAAGTGACTCACCACCATCTGTTTGGTATCGAATTTGTACCTAATTGTATAATCTATGTATTCATATACAGCCCTGATTAGGAACTAATTGAAAAGAAGTATTTCTTTACTCAATTTTTATTTTCATTGTCTCACTGGGAATAGTCATTGCATTTTGATTAAGTCTTTGAGAAACAGTTCTTTTGAATTCTATTTTTGTTAAATGTCAGTAAATGAATTTAGAACGAGCTGAATACCTCATGTATATCTTCTCTATTCTAAAAATATACGTAGTTTTTAAGAGTTCAGAATCTAGAAGCCATGAAATAAAAGAAAAAATCTGGTCAACTGATTCATTTACCACACTTTGATATTATTTTATTTTAAGAGTAATAATAACAATTTAAAATGAAAATGAAATTGAAAATTGTTTCTCCAGAACAAAAACTTTCATTATTGCAATAGATACTCAACTTACCTAAGCCTCCACTAAACAATTCATTTAATTGGATGGGCCAATACCATAAGGCAACTGTTACTACTCTGATTCCTGGATTAACAGAGGAGGCAATTTCCTCTCCATCAAATCCTCTATCACAACCGACCCAAATTGATGTTGGTGTTGAATTACTACCCAAATATTGAACACCTTGATAATTATTTTTCACAGCAACTATCTTACCATTTATTACCAGCTAAGGTAGAAAAAAGTACAGTTCGTCTAATAAATCAATTCTTGCAATAAACAATTCATTACAAAATATTATGAATATTACAAAACTGAATTAAAGACAGTAGTTTTAACTTAAGGATGTCACATATTACATTTGACAAATTTATTTATTGTTTCATACATAAATTCTAGATTTCTAATTTATCTTATTTAAGATCAACTACCCACTATTTATGTTTCTGTCAAGTTCCAAATACACATACATCCACTAAACATTCAATCAATGAATATATCCTGCTCACCAACTTAAAACAAAATGAAACATAAGCCAAATTATGAATAAAAATGATTGCAATCGGTGTACAAACATCTGTAAAAAGAGGTTAATTTGTATTTGTTGATGTTCAATGTTAAAAAATAGTCTTGATCCCTAGGGTTTATACTTAGATAAGTGTTAAGATAACACTAAATATCCCATGGCATTACATCGCCATATGACTATTGGTATACTGATAACTCTTATGTCTAAGGTGAATGAGTAATTTTTAGTGTTAATGTTAATTGATGTGAAATAATAATATCAATGATGAATAGGTCGTGGTTATTTTGTACTATACTACTAGTGCACGGTATTAATTACTTAAAAAATAAGATAAATCTAATAGTTTTTAAGATTATATAGTACATTAGTTGATTTTATGATTACATTTACCAGTATTAATAGACTATTTTCCAAGAAGTATGCTAGTAATAAATCCATAGAATTTGAATACATCTGCAGGATATCTGCTATTCTTTTGTTACTACTATACGTACAACAGACCATGTCACCTTAGTCCGGACAAGCCGAACCTTTACCTTCACTTCCACTTCGCCTTTGGGTTTCGTAACACCCACTGACTCGCACACATGTCAAACTCCTTGGTCCGTGTTTCAAGACGAGTCAGGTGGATCGTCGACCACTACATCACAGACTATTGGCCCAATGCAAACCACACACGCAACCGCCAACGTGACAAAATCAAGCCATCAACCGACCAGCCGAAGCTAGTAACAAACCGACAAGACTCAACAATACCCGAAGGGAAATGTCATTTTATCAAATCATTGCATTGAAAATCTGTTGATTGTGGATCTAATTATTGGATGAACATATATGATGTGTATAAATTACTTAGTTATTTGTTGTCTACAACTTTTATTGTAAGTTTTTTAATTGTATCAGTAGAGTTTATATTATTCGTATGCATTCTCTCTTAATTATTTAACCAAACAACTTTGTGGTTCTATAGTATATAGAGCCGTAAAATTGTTTCCTTTTGGAGAGTATTCACCTTTTTTCCCTGGGAGTTTATTTTATATTCAGTAATATCATACACTTAGTTTTACTTCTATTGCATTAAAACATTATTCAGTTACAAATTCTGAGGTTGAAAGTTACTGAAATCTAGAAATCGAAACAATGTCTAACTAATAATTGCTATTCTAATAGATCTTATGGCTTCCAACACTTTTCAGATTTGTTTGAAAACTTTTGATTTAGATTCTACAGGTTCACGCAAAATTTAATATTCTTACAGATAGTAAAATTAACTGGGTGATTTGTAGAAATCTAATTAAAGTTATCACATTCTCATTGTAAACTACAGCTGACATCTCATAGCCAAAAGTCTTTAAGATTTTAAGACCATCCTCAGCTTTACAAGTTCATAATGAAAAGTGACATCTTTTAGTCGACGAAATACTGAATAAAGTCTCCCACATTGAATGAAGTAGAAGAATACTGAGCGTAGATTCGATTATGTATTCCAAAAAAAACATTTTAATCGCATTTAGACCTTGAAGATTGAAGTTCATTCCTTTGAAAGATGTTGATGTATATTAATCAAAACTCATTCATAACTGTCATTCTCAAACCACACTAACTGGTAGAAAATTATAAAACGTACCAGAATTACTGACTTCAAAATGCTTTTAAGAATTTCATATTTATGAAGGATTTCGAAAGATAATTAGTAACATCAGTTTGTAGGAGTGTGCGCAAAAATTCAACTGTTTATTAGATCAATGTAAGAAAACCAGTACTTGTAAGATAAAATGAATTTATTCTAAACAGAGCAAATGTAGTAAATCTCTTTTTGTCAGATTAAAGATAACTATAAGGGAATGACTTAACACAATGGAACATCTTAGTTTTGCTTGCCCACTTACTTTCATTCATTTAGTTCATTTTAGTTGAATTCCGTTGACTGATTTTTAAAAAAATCATTTTAATCAGATTAGTTAATATTTATTGGGGTTCTCTACTTTAAATGCCTAAACTTGCAATAATAACAATACACAACAATCCAAAGGAATATGTGTGTGTTGTTTATGATGGATAAAAACAAATTGATTTTATTCTGGAAAGTTGGTTCTTGCTACGTTAAACATTGTTATAATAACCAACTTTACGATGGTCTTATTTAATCAAATACTTACTTTTATATTTTGTGCACTTTTGCCCCATGCAACACCAATATTTATCCATTGATTCAGTGTCTTTGTAATTGGACTGCTAACTTTCCACAGGGTATCTGCTGTCCTCAATTCAAATTGCAACATCCCGTTGTTAATTGAAAGAGAAAAGCCTTTTCCTTTTCCTGGAGCTATAGTTAGAATATGTAGGAAGTGAATAATACAAATTAAATAAATGTTTCAATCACCTTAAATATATTATTCATGATTAGGCTCTCAGAATTTATCAGTCGCTGGCTCCATGGCATTTATGATTATTTAAAGTTATGAAGTAGTTAATCCAATAAAATCGGGATTAAGCGTTCTTGTGTAAGACCGAAGGTTCTGGGTTCGATTCCTGCGTGCGGGATCGTAGTTATGCACTGCTGAGGAGTTTCATACTAGGACGAAACGACCATCCAGTGCTTCCAGGATTAAAATGATTGTCTAGCTTACATCGACTCTTGAATTCAACTATTAAGAATTACTAAAATCTACACAAAACCCCTTTCAAAAAATAAAGAATTGTCACATCAGCCTAGGCTGTGAAATTTATTCAAGTTTTCACTTTGTTTACTTGGAATTTTGTCAAGTTGATCTTTATCGTTATAAATATAGGAGACTTTTCGAGATTATGGAATTTTCACAGTTTACTCAATGACAAATCTCAGCTAGATCACCGTTGAAAACCTGAAACCATTAGTCAGTCGTTTCGTCCTAGCATGGGACTCCTAACCAGTTCACATCCATGGCCGAACACCCAAGAATCGAAACCTGGGTCTTTGGTCTTGTGTACGAAAGCTTAACTCGATGACTATTGAGCCTAGACCCAATAGAATCAATGTCTAACTTCAACTAGTTCATGAATTTTATTGGTTTCTACGTATGCCTTGAAAAGTATATCTGCGAGCACATTGTTCATAATAATAAATACTTTTAAATACCAATACAGCTCATCAATCATAGATTGACCGATTACATTTAAAGCTTACCTGTTGATATAAGGACTTCTTTTGGACTGAATGTTTCGGTGGTGAATTGAAGCCAAACGGACAAACTCAACCCATAATCACATTCATTAATATCCAATAAACATTGTTTAAAGTAATATCGTTCACGTGTAATGTCATCCAGCAAGCAAATACAACTTTCATTCTCATTTGAATTAATGTATATACTATCTTGAGTTTTATGAATGCCGGGACTAGTTAATCTTCCTTCTGGCAGGGTTCCATTTAAGGATTTAAATAAAGTTTTCTGCATGTTATTTAAGTCATTGTAAATTGGACCTGCGGTACTTAGTTTACTGTCGAAAAACGATAATCTATCGTATATCGATCGCGTCAGTATATTACGGTCTGGAGCACGATCAAAGATAAATGATTTCCCAAGCACTCTTTTAAATGACCAATAGTGGTTTGCAGTGTTTTCATATCGAACATCTGTACGCAAAGGAAAGAATAATAGTAACATGAAAACCCTGGTCAATATAAAGCATTGTGGTTGGCAGAGTGTAACGAATAGTACTAAGTTGTTACAGTTCGACACTTATAAACTTTCTTCAAAACTATATGAGCATTACTTATCAAATTCACAATTCTGATTTATTTTTACCAACGGTTGAATATTGAATACAGATGCAACATTTTCATCATTCGTGACTTTTATTACGTTCTACTATTGAGTACTCTTTCCTAGAAATGTACGGTTTATCATTAAATTACGGAATAATAAATATATTTTTGTTATATCGCAATGAGTAGAAAAACTGTACTTCGAACGTTTCGCGGCTTAATATAAGCCACTTCTTCAGAGTAAATGAATGACCGAATAAAATTAACACGAGTCCAAATGGTACAAAGGAAACAATGCAGAGTATTTTTAATACAATCAAAATCATAGTAGGTTTGAATATGTTAATGTCAATGTCTAGTTATTCTTAGTCAATGATAATTTGTGTGACCTGTCACTTTGGTAATTTCTGTATCAGAGTGTTAGTATGAAAAATGTATGCATTTATAAAATCAAGTAGTGGGTATGAAAATAGGTGTGTGTGTGGAGAGTAAATAAGGTCATATTTCTTTTCATTGATATCACGAATGGATCAATGTAAGACCACCATTGAGAACCTGGAAGCACTTGATGGCCGTTTCGTTCTACTGTGGGACTCCTCAGCAGTGCGCATCCACGATCCTGTATGCAGGACTCGAACCCGTAACCTTCAGGCTGGCACATGGACGATCAACCTGTAGACCACTGAGCCGGCATCCAACGGTCTTAATATCTACAGGATTGTTGGGAGGTCTTTTCCTGAAGTTTAAGTGTTCCTTTGCACGAGTCGAGATCTCGCTGGAAGACTTCCCATTATAGAACGTATTACAATCGACACAACCTAATCTGTAATCACTGAGTTACATAAGTTACCTCTTGTGTAACGGGGGGTAAATAACCATATATTTTAGTGGTTAAAATAACTCAGTCATCAATGTGGGTCATGTCAGTAAACCGAGAATATTTTTCATAATCAGTATGTAGACAATAATGGGACGATATTGCAATGTACAGATAATTCCATGTCGTTTACTGTTATCATTAAGATCACTTGTATTATGATATTTCATGATGTAACAACTGAGATTATAAAAGTCTTCAGAATAAAATCTTAAATAACTACCACTTTGAAGACGTTAAGATTACCAGCACTAACAATAAACTTGTATGAGGAGTATACTGATACATTTTGTGAGACTATTATCCTTATTCTGCGGAATGTAAATCTTACATCGAATAAAATTTACCAGTAAATGTCTGTTTAGAATCATCAAAAAACAGCAACGAAATAATGAAGATAATAAAACACCTAGAACAACCAAATCTTCCTGCTGTCTTCACTCAGCTTCTAATTATTGTTTTCAATTTGAAGTTGATCTATTATTCTCAATTCAGTTACAATTATTATTCATATAAAACAAACATACCTTGATAGATAACAAATATATCATTATATCATCTAAAAAGATAATGGAATACTAGTACATATATACTAGCCACTGATGGATACATATTATACGAAAAGCAAACAAACTATCTAACCACTCGAAGTTGGTTAACTGATAACTATAAATCACGAGTGGATTTCTAGCAAAAATATTTAAACATCATTACAAATAACTTATTACTATAGCAAAACCCATTGATGAATGATGCTAAAGTTTAACGTAAACATTTTAATCTGATACTGAGAAAATTTCAGAGAACTTTAAATTATTCATTAAAAATTATTAGTGTTTTTAAAGATAACAACTACAGTAAATTTCTAATTCGTAAAAGTCTTACCTACTAAGTCTTCATTAGGCAGTTCATATTTTGGAACTGGAAGTTGAATTGGTTTTGGACCTGTATCATCTTCAAAAGATGGTAACTTAATAACAAGGGACATGATTCCAATGACGGTTGTGATGGGACTGATAGTGGTGGTAGAATTTTTGGTGTTAGAAGTGGTGGTTGCATTTGTGGTACTGTTGGTGGTTATCGGACTGGTGGTGTTAGTAGTAGTGATTGTATTTGTTGTATTGCTGATGGTGGTCCAACTGGTAGTGTTGGTGGTAGACTTATTCGTATAGGTAATACCTATTGTTAAATGTAAAAATTAACATTAATTCAAAAAATTAATCATTTAAAATGATTCCAGACAATACAGTTGTTAGTAATAATCAAATTCAGTTAGAAAACCAGTAGAATTATCTGCTTAATAGATTAATGTTTCTTCTGATTTAGAGACTCTTCAACATCCATGACACTATGTGCAAACGAGTAAAGGATTTTCAGGTCTCATTTCATTGGTGCAGACTTTCTAGTTTGAGATATTCACGTTTTAAAGTGACTTTTATTTAATGTCACTTGCTACCATTTCTTTCATATTCAACTTGATGGAACTGACAAAGTAATTTACTAGATTCGGTGAAATCCATCTCACTATCAGTCACTAGTTTTTCTTTGATTATCATCGGATAAAGTATTTTGTGGAGACGTATTCAATGTACAGATATTTTGTACAATGGATTGATATTTTCTTATTATGAAATGTTTTGCTAGTTGACAATTTACTGTTGTTCTGATTAATCAATGATCAGTTTATAATTATGGATTTAGGGGTTATTTAAATAAATCTACAAAAGATATCATTAAATGACGGTGATTTTTCCTTAAACTTATTTTTTGCAAGTTAAATATCCACAAATCCAACTAGATTTCATTTATAATCAAATGATATCTTCTACAGTAATGTCTGCCACATGAAATTGAATTTGCAGAGAAAATAATGATGACGCCTAGTGACAAGCAATTGAAAAGCATATATTCAACATTTAAATGTTTCTCGTAACTCCATGTAAATGTTCAAGATTGGATTGTTGGGTTTAAAACTAATGTATTTCATAGTATTTGACAGTTAATACAGTTTTGCTTTTTCAAAAGCCAATGAATTGATAATCGTATCATAAGAGAATAATTTTTACTTGCAACTATCTTTAAGAACATATTCAACCGACTAGATTTATATTAACTGTAATACTCAGAGTTTTCCACACATTTCTGAAGAATTGCACAAAATCACTTTCAAAGATTTCATTTGGTAGAGAGTTAATCACCCACTATTTTATACTTCTCTTTCATCTTATACACATTAGTTAAATATTAAGAACAATGCAGTATTATTCATTGTTTACCGCTAGAAGTATTGGAAATAATAGTATTTGTAGTAGGTTTGACAGTAGTGGTAGTAGTCGCAGTAGTAATAGTAGGACTAATATTAGTTGTGTTAGTCGTGGAAGTAGTATTGGTGGTTGCAGTATTCGTTCCCTTCAAGCTAGTAGTGGTAGTAACAGCAGTAGTAGTACTAGTAGTTGGATTGATAGTTGTAGCTTTAGTAGTAGTAGTAATAGTTGTATTACTTGTCGTCGCTGCAGTACTAGTAATAGTAGTTTGAGGAGTTATAGTAGTAGTTACCATGGTGGTATTGGCAGGAATAGTAGTGGTAGTAGTCACGTTAGAGGTAGGATTAATAATAGTTGTGTTAGTCGTGGAATTAGTATTAGTAATGGTAGTATTTCTTATCGCCGAGGTGGTGGCGGTAGTAGTAGTAGTAACAGTAGGACTAACAGTGGTATTGATCACAGTAAGAAGTGCATTGGTGTTAGAAGTAGTATTAGTAGTGGTAGTATTCTTTGTCGTCACTATAATGATGGTTGTAGTCGAAGTATTAGTAGTAGAAGTAGTAGGACTAACAGTAGTAGTTGTTGTAGCAACAACGGTGGGACTAATGGTAGTTGTATTAATATCAGTAGTAGTAGGACTAGATGTAGTCGCTAGCATAGGATCAACAGATGAAGTATTTGAAAGAGTATTTGTTTTAGCGCTCAGAAGCAAAGATATTTGTGTTGCATTTGTTGCTGATTCCACGGTTGATACAGTTGTTAACACTACTGCTTCCGTCATATTTTCGCTAACTGTCATTGCCGCTGTTGTATCTAGTATGCTTGATTGGCCTATTTAGTAAATTAATAAGAACAGTTTTGAGAGATGTTATTGTGGTGTCAACAGAATCAACGTAAAGTAAAAAAATCCCACTATTAAAAGTTTCTTCAAACATTTTAGTTTTCTCCATAATTTCATAGTCCCATTTAACCGATGAAGCTAAAAATTTATTTTTGTGTACAAATTACTGATCTCAAAGATCTACATCACCATTGTTTTACAGAACTGATCTGATGACACTGTTCATAAAAATATTGTATGTATTCTTCTCAATCTTATTATAATTTAAACGATGTTTAGTGGACAGTTTCTCATCCTAAAGGATATTTAATGATTAATAAGTAGTGAATTCACGTGACAACAGAAAACTTTCAATTCGATAATTAAATTGAACATAATTCAGTTGTTCTGATAGTATCGGTAGTTCTAAACATATCAAAAGCCGTTTTAGAGTCATTAATCAAATCTTTTTGCCAAAATTCTTGGTACATTTGTTTGAAATTACTTGAAACTGAAGAAGCTGTAGCAATTTATACTTTGTTCAGTCGCTTAGATTTTTATGAATGCAATTTTAATAAGTATTCCAACCTTCTACCCTCAAAATAAAGTTGTCATTTCTTGTCATTATTATATTGTTTTCGATCTTTTAATAAAACAATTCTTGCATATATATGCTTTCTTACTTATTCATCAATGTTGAGGCAACTGATCTCATCAAATAAATACTGTTCGGCTTGTTAACTCAATAAATTTTTGTCTGATTATTTGTTAAGAAACAATTTTACCGAAGTCATACAAATTTATACTCTGTAACTGAGCATTACTGTTAAGTAACCGAATGACCATTCTGCGTGTCTGAAGTTTGAAAATGAGATCTTCAAAAAGATCACATCCCTGAGTCTTGCTTTGTTTTATAACTTATCGAGAGTTTTTTTTAACTCCACCTGTAGCTCTTCTAGGGTGACATCCCATCCCAACTACAAGTAAAGAAGGGTTGAGCATAGGGTCAGTAACTTCATCCATAGAAACAACCTTGCTAAAAAAACCTATATAGAAAACGATCATTCAACCCACTTAAGCTCTCCATTTGGGAAATGAAAAACATTCATTTACAAGAGCTATGACGCCTCATCGTCAAAGCTAAGGTTCTTCGGAAATCACAAGGCCGACATCTCTTCTAACAACCGGAGCAACAATTAATATAGGTACATGGAATGTACGGACAATGTGGGGGAATAGGAGGATCAATCAAATAACTGTGGAGATGAGGAGATACAACTTAGAGGTTCTCGGAATCAACGAAAAACATTGGACCCAATCTGAACACAAAAGATCAGCTTCGAGACAGATGCTATTGTACTCTGGTCATCAAGAAGAAAATGCTTTGCACACAAAGGGAATTGCACTGACTCAGTTAAAAGAACCATGAAAAGCACTTATAGGATGGCAATCTCATGGATCCAGAATCATCAAAGCATTCTTCACAACAAAGAGATAGAAGACCACAATCAATGTTATCCAATGCTATGCACGGACCAATGACAGCAATGAAGATGATGAAAATTAGTTTTATGAGCGGCTACAATAGATTGTAGAGAAGTGCTCGAGAATGAACCCGATCATTCTGCTGGAGTACCTGAACGTCAAAGTCGGGGTGGACAACACCGAGTATGAAGATATCATGGGATGACATATGCTACCAGAAAGGAACGAGAATGGCGAAAGATTTGCAGATTTATGTGCATTCAACAAAGTGGTCATAGGTGGCACAATATTCCCCCACAAATGCTTACACGGAGCTACATGAGTTTCACGGTATCGCACTACAGAGAACCAGATTGATCATATTTACATCAATAAAATTTTCAGGAGATTCATGGAGGACTTAAGAACAATGATAGAAGCTGACGTAATTTCGGATAACAACTTAGCTGTGATCATGATCCAACTTGAACTAAAGGAACACTGAACAACTGGAGAAACAGTATTACAAAGTTTTAGTGCGACCTTCCTTCGACATACTGACAAACTCAACGAATTTAAGATAACTCTCAACAACGTGTTCCAAGCCTTACAAAATCTACTCGCAGAAGGTGAGACTGCTATAGAGGACAGTTGAAAAGGAATAAAAGAAGCACTAATTTCAGCGTGTCAGGAGGTTCTAGGCCGCAAGAAGCATCGACATAAAAGATGAATCTCTATAGAAACCTTGAACAAGACTCAAGAAGTTAAGAACTAGATAGCAATCAACAACAGCCGAATAAGAACAGTTAAAGCCAAGGCACAAATCGAATACACAGCAAAAAGGTAAGGAGGAACATTGGAACCGAAAAGCGGAAAAACGTGGACGACCTAGCAGTGATAGCGGAAAAGCTGTAAGAGAAGGAAATATGAGACGACTATATGACACAACGAAGAAACTACCAGGCAAGGATAGTAAACCAGAGAGAACGGTCAAGGACAAAGAAAGCAAACCAATCACTTATATTCAAGAACAAAGGAATGGGTGGATAGAACACTTTAGAGAAATCTTGAATAGAACAGTCACACTAAACATACAAGACATCGAAGCAGCACACACAGCTCTTCTCATAGTTGTCATCTCACAAACGATCGGCGAAATCAACATGGTCATCAGACAAATCAAGAGTAGGAAAGCAGTAGGACCTGACAACATACCACCTGAAGCATTAAAGTCAGACAGATAGGTAACTGCAAACATGCGCCACGTTCTATTCACGAAGATTTGGGAGTAAGAACAAGGAGGCATCACACTAATATATTCACTGAGCGAACTTCCCAATAAAATGTTGCTGAACCAAACAAAGAAGTCAGTGGACATTCACCTTCGAAATCAACAATCTAGATTTCGTAAGAGTCGGTCATATACCGACCAAATTAAGACACGGCAGATCGGTGTTGAACGATCATTTGAATGACATTCATCTCTGCATGTCATCATTCCTGATTATGAGGAAGCACACAACAACGTGGATAGGAGAAATTGTAGAACATTTCTCGACACTATGGAATATGTGAAACGATATTATATTATAAAGAACTCTTTCGAGGACGCAGTTTCGTTCATAGAAGCAGTTCACAGATGCATACCAAGTAAGGATAAGAGTGTCTGTTATCATCCTTTGTTAATTCTTCTAGTAAACAGATGGGTTACTAAGACTTCTACATCTCAGGCAATATAATAGACACCTTGGTTGCTGCCAACTGACTTTTACTTTTCAGATGACCTAGCCCTTTTATTCTAAGAACAACAACGGAATCAGACAAAGATAACTAGATTATCAATGGCTCCTATAACAGTAACCCCTCAACACTCCCATTGAAAAAGGCAAGATCCTGTTATACTTGATGACGAAGCTTTTGAGGAGATAGAAGCCTTGATATATTTAGGCAGCATCGTTAATAAACAATTAGAATTTGACGCAGATATGAAGGCACGAACTAACAAAACTATGACACCACTGCTAAAACTGGAGAATATCTACAACCCAAAAGAACTGTCAGCCAACACCGAAGTCACAACTTTCAATACGAAGCTTGAAACACTTCTGTTGTACGGTGTTAAAGCATGGAGAACCACCACAACCATCATCAAAAATGTACACGTGTTCATAACCAACAGTCTGCACAAGATACTCTGGATCAATGAATCAGAGATCACCAGTAACAACTTACTGTAGCAGAGAAAAACCAGATGCCAGTTCAGTAGGAAATTAGGAAGTCACTGGAGATGGATGAGACACTCACTACAGAAATTATCAAACTGCATGACAAGGCAAGCCCCAAATTTTCATTTTCACGGCGGAAGAAAACAAGTAAAAACCAAAAAGTGCATGACACGGTTTAAATGACGATCTTATCTCAGTAATTTTATTGAAGAACACAACTTAGACGAATCGTTTTTTTTCGGTAGCTTCTTACCGTACATTATACTCACAATTAGAAAGATATTCATTTTAGCTATTGAAACAGTCATGATTGATAAAATTAGATCACAGGCACATCAAGCATAATATAATAAATATAAAAAAATCGTTTAGGTGATAGTTTAATTATTACAGTTTATTTGTTTATACGAATATTCGTCAAGATTAGAACGAATAGCTTGACAAAAATTGGGCGCCGAGTATAAAGAAGTCATTATATATGAAAATTATATTTGAAATAATCTTAGCGATTGAAATTTAAATAAATCATTCCAACGTTTCGTCCAGCCAACTTGTCTGGACTTCTTCAGGGTAATAAGCAAAATCAAAATCATCAAAGAAATATATGGTGTTTTTTATGACAATCACATCAAAATCTATACTACGTTAAACCAGTGATATTTGGATGTTGAATTTTTGTAAATAGGATAACATGAGTAAGTTAAAGCAATTAGTCCCTTTGATGAATTCTATAGTGTAATAAGAAGACGAAGATTGACAGCAGAAGCACTGCATATATATATGGGCGAATAAGAACAGCCTAAACAGAAAAGATGGTATTCAGCTAGCAACCATTTGGCAAATAATCATCGACAAGTAATTGGACCCTTTCTTTCTTTATTCAACCTGTTTATCTCACATGAATGGTTATTTCGACTGAAATCAATTTGAGTTATTTTTAGCATCACAATTATGTACTTGATATTTAAATTCACTTAGTATTGTTTGTTTGAATCTTCCCATGGATGTTTAGGACGGCAACTGGTCAGTCTCTACTTGATGATTCTCATTTTTACTTGCAATTCAATGATTCAGAAACAATTTTTCAACCTTCAATTTACACTTTTACTTTTACTTCATATAGAAACATATCAACACTGAATATCATTCATTAATAACTCATTCTTACATACACATACACACAATTCATCCAGTCTTCTTTTATTTTATTCCACATCGTGAACTTTTCACTTGTTTCTTATTTAACTGACTCATATTATCCTGTTTACAAAA